GCCCGTGGTGTTATTTAAAGCAGCAGCGCCTGTGTGTACGGATGACTGTGAACTCGGCCTTCCCTGCCCCTCTCCGGGTGCCGGCGGGCGGGCCGGTTTCGAAGTTGATGCAATCGGTTTAAACATGGCTGAACGCGTGTGTAGACGGGACTGACGCAACCCACGTGTAACTGTCAGCCGGGCCCTGAGTAATCGCTTAAAGATGTTCCTACGGGGTTGCTCTTGTTGTTATTATTTTTTTGGTCCTTTTTTTTGTATTATAAAAAAATCTATTTCTATGAGAAAAGAGGCGTCTGTATATTTTGGGAATCTCCGTTTCAAGCATTAAGTAAGAACACTTTTAATAAACTTTTTTTGAGGACGGTTAAAAAGCCTTTTGGGGGCAGTAGTTGGCTTTTGATTTTTTTCCCTTTCCTTTGGATGGATAGGGTTTTGTTTTGCGTTTCTGGTGTGTAGGGGTTGTGTGTGAGGGGGCTGCTGTTATTTTTGGACCTTTTTGGTGGCAGGGTGGGGGTGTCGCAGCTGGCTTCTCTCCTCCCCTGCTGCTTCCCTCAGGGTCGCTGGCAGATGGAGGCTCCAGCTTCTGGGGGAAGAGGTGCAGAGTGCTGGGTCAGGCTTTCAGGGTGACTCAGCACCCCGGGGTGCTGTGATCTGGGAACTCTGCTTGGGGATGGGGGTTGGTCCTAAGTGTCAGGCTTGGGTTTGGAGGGACCAGGAAGTCTGTGACCCCCCCCCCCCCCACTCTTGGGGGCCAGGCAGGCAGGCCTGTGACTCTCTGTTTGGGAGAAGAGTCATGACTTGGTCTTGTTTGGCCCAAGTCGGGGCTGATTGTTTGGCAAGTGTAGTGGGGCGGGCTGTTTAAAAGGTACTTTGTGTGTGTACTTTGTGTACTTGGAGTCTGTGTGTACTTTGTGTGTGCGTGTGCGTGTACATGTATGTGTTGAGGGGATCCTGGCTGCACCTGTGGGTGAGTCAGTTTGTGTGTCCCTGTCCAGGGGGAAGGGGAGACTGGGCCAGGTGGGGGAGGGTGGGGGAGGGTTCTGCACTTACACCCTCTCTGACAGCTGGACTGACAGGACACTGCCCGCTTGCCCTCTCTGCTCAGACGTGGACGCTGAGGCCCAGGCTCACCTGCGTGTTCAGGGTGGCGGAGTTTGGCCTTGAACTTGGGACCATCTCTTCTAAAGCCCTGATCCCTCTGCCCTTCCTGCCCCTCCTTGCTGCCCTCTGCAAGCCCGCTGAGTCCTGGCTGGCATTCCTGAGAGCTGAGGATGTCGACGGAGGGGTTAGTGGATATGCGGCGGCCTCCTCCGGTGCCTGGCACGACAGAGGTGTTATATAAGCGTTTGCTCTTGTTATTATTTTTGCTGGGAGGCTCCTGGCATTGGGCACCCAGGTCTTCAGTGTAGTGTGAGTGTGTCAGGCACTTGCCAGAGACCTGCCCCGTCCCACTGCAACCTCACAACAACCTGCGGAAAGGTGGGTGCCCTAGGACCCATGTTTTTAGAGCCAGGGGACAGTTTCAGCTGTCGGGTGCCTGTGGGTGGGCGAGGGACTGGTCCAGAGGCCTGGGGAGCTGGGGAGCAGTGGGCCACTCATTCTGCTGACCTGGGGCCCGGGCTGCTGAGGTCTGCTGACCTGTGGCATGAGTGTTCCCCCACTTTCCCTCTGGGGCCTACAGATGCTATTCCTGGGGCAGCCTAGAGTGGGGGACAGAGGGTGACCTTGGCCTCCGCTGGGAGGACTGAGACTAACACCCTGTCTCTACTGCCAGTGTCGGGCATGGATGGTATGAGGGCTCTTGCAGGCCGCTGGGCACAGCCCACTTTAGCCTGAACCTGCCCTGCTGCCCTGACCAAGGCTCTCAGCTCTAGGCAGGGGACACTGGCTGTGTGGCCCCTGGAGGCCAGGCCAGTCGGTTCCATGCTCCTGTGGCTCCATCAGTGCCAGCAATGAGACTGGTCTCCGCTGTCTCCTGGCTCACCTTGGGCCTGGAGCTGAGCCTGCCACGGAGGTGGCTGTTTTTCCATGGCCTGCAGGAGAGGGGGTCTCTGTCCTGATCTCCTCTTCTGTCACTGAGAGTTGTCTGGTGCCTGCGGCTGCTTGCTTTGCAGAGGACACAACAGAGGAGCAGGGAATGGGTGGGTGGGGCAGCCTGGTAACTACATGCCTGGCCACTGTCCCCAACACTCTCCTCCTGGGCAGCGGGGCTCCGGGGAGCTTTACACACACGCATTTGCTCTAATCCACGTGAGCATGCAGTGGGACCATCCCAGCCTTTTCCCAGTGGATAATGTGAGAATCAAGCCAGGCATCATGGTGCACAACTGTGCTCCCTGCCACCCAGGAGGCTGAGGCAGGAGGATTGCAAGTTCCTGCCCACCCTGAGCAACTTAGGAAGACACTCTCAAAATAAAATGAAAGGCCTGGGGATGTAACTGAAGGTTTGTATTCAAGGTAGAATGGGGGCTCCATCTGATTCCCGGGCTCTGGGGAGGGTTCGGGCCGCGAGGCTGTTTTTGACACCACCCCCACTCCAATCCTGGGCCTTCCTGGGGATACTCCGTGCCTGGCCTCATGTTCAGGGACCCTGAGCTCCACAGTGATGTGACTTGCACACGGTGTCACGGTATGGATGGGACAGAAAGGGAACCTGAACGAGAGGCCCTCTGATGATCCTGGAGAGGGCTGGAGAAGCAGCTCACGGGGCGAGTCCTGTGGATGGGACGGTGCCAGAGGACTTGGGAGTGACACAGGTGGGGTGACACCCACCCCGTGGGTCAGCAGACCCAGAGGGAGACGGCTTGCAGGGAGGAGGGGCGGCCCACTCAGCAGTCCTGCACCAAGAGAGAGCGGGGTGGGAGAGGGCAGGAGGGGCCCAGCTGTGAGGGTGAGAGCCAAGTACCCCACTGGGGCAAGGCAGCACCCCAGGCCTTCAGCCCAGGTGAGCCCGCTGGCCCGAGGTCTGCCCTGCCAGGCAGTTCTGTGCGGGCTGCCGAGGCTGGTGGGGAGTGGGGAGCCTGGGACCCCATCTTGTCTGCTTAGGACAGGGCCCTTCCTGCCTCACAAGCTTACAGAGAAGACTAACAGCTGGGGAGCCTGCTGGCCGGGCCCTGTGCTCTGTGCAGAGGCCCCCAGGGCCACAGCTCCTGTACTGGGTGTCTGGGAGGCAGAGTGACCCATGACCGGAGGGGAGTGACCCACGAGCAGGGGTTGGCGCAGGGGCTGGCGGGGGCCGCTCCCTCCGGACACCTGCGGAGGTCCCTTCCTCCGGCTCCTGTCGGGCTTGTTGAGGTGGTCTGGTCTCTGTCTCATGATGTTTATTTGCCTCATTATTTTTCGTTTACTTGACAAGCATTTATTGAGCACCTGCTGTGTGCCAGTCTCTTTAGTAGGCGCTGGGGACAAGTGGTGGCCAAGATGAAGGTGACAGTTTATAAGGAGAGCCAGACACTCAGTGTTCAGCAACAGGCACAAGATAATGACAGGTGGGGACAAGGGCTCCCCGGGAAGCAAAGTGGGGGGAGGAGGGGTGGGGAGGTCCGGAGGCCGCCCTGGCCGTGGTGCTGGTGCAGCTTTTCTGCAGTCACGTGGGGGCTCCTTATCATCTTCCAGGTGGGGAAACTGAGGCACAGAGGTGCAGGCATTGTCCCAAGAGCTGGATGTTGTTTGGGGCTGGGGATTTAGCTCAGCAGCATAAGCGCCTGCCTTGCAAGTGTGTGGTTGTGAGTTCAATCCCTGGTACCAAAAAAAAAGAAAAAAAAATGCAAAACCCACGAGCTGGTGAGTGGCCAGGAGAGCTCTGAGTCCCCGTTGTGCTGGAGCCTGAGGCTCCTCCATCACCACCTCCTGCGCGGCCCCAGCCTCTTGCCTCCGCTGTTGCCAGTTCTGTCCCCACCCAGCTCTTTCTGGGCCTGGCTGACCTGGCTGATCCCAAGTGATGTCCCCAGGCCACCAGCTGGCCCACTTCGGATGGTTCTGTAAGCTGTGGCTATGTGCAGGGTGGTGACAGAGTCCTGGGCTGGGAGATCCAGGAGGCCACGGAGGGCCAGGGGACAGGACTTTAGGGGCCCATAGTGTCCATGTCACTGGGTGGGGAAACAGGCTCTGTGTGGGACGTCCCTTGCTCAGAGAGCAGCAAAGCTGGGGTTTCGATCCAGGTCCATGTGTGCCCTACTTGCATGCTATGGGCAGACAGATCCACACCCCCTGAGGGGTGAGTCGCCCGGGCAAAAGCAAAGCAGCACTCTGAGCTCTGTTCCTGGCTGGCTGAGGCCTTGGCAAGGCCCGGGGCTGCTCCGAGCTGGTCTACCTTCCTTCAGCTGTGCACACAGTCACTGGGTATCCAGCGGGCGCCTCTGCGGGCCCAGGACGTCTCTGCCCCTCAGCTGCCGTTGTCGCAGGTTGATCGTGCAGGCTGGGATGTGGCCTTGAGGAAGCCAAAGAGGGGGAAGTGATTGAAGACACCTGGGAGGGGCAGAGGGCTAGCAGGTGCAAAGGCCCTGAGACAGGCTGAACTCAGTGGGTGAGGGGAGGTGTGGAGGGGACCCAGAGGGCAGTGGGGTGGCAGGGCCTCTGCACCGGGGCCTGCAAAGCAAGAGCAAGGCCAACAGAGGTTGTTTTGAGGATGAGTGAGCAGGTGGCCCTGCCAGGGCCTGGCAGCCGGCAAGTCCTTGATAAGTCTGCTGATGGAATCGAACAGGCCCCTCGGCCTCAGGAGGAGGCAGAGTGCAGTGGGTGAAGGGTGCTGCGGGGAGAGCGGGGCTGAGAGCCTGTGACCCAGGGCCCCGAGCCATGCGAGCTGCGCCAGGCAGGAAGAGGGGCAGGCGGCAGGGGTGCGGGCGGAGCGGCGCCGGGTGCCAAGAGGGGGAGAGTTCTCCGGGAAGCAGGGGAGAGGGCACCGGCCGGGCCGGCAGAGGCGAGGCTGCTGGGGGCGGGCTTCCCTGTGGCGCCTGGGGTGTGGGGGAGAGGATCTGTAGGAGGCTGGACCCCGAAGGGTGTTTTCTTTTTCACTGATTTCCTAAGCAATGCCTGGCCCCTGGCAGGGCCAGAGAATGCAGAATGTCAGTAACAGAAGGAACGCGAAGCGCCCAGAATTCCAGGTCCAGCGCTGCCCCTGTAACGCCTGCTGTGTGGCCTCGGGCACTTTCCTGCCCTCTCAGGGCCTCCATCTCCTTGAGTGAGACCATCATGATGCCCGCCCCAACGCCGCTCCACCTCCTCCTGGCCCTGCAATGTGGGCTCGCTGGGCCACACTTTCTCCTCCTGTAAACAGGGCGACGGTGGAGACTGTGTCTACAGCAGCCGTTAACTTCCGGGGTTTTCATATTTACTGCCCTCCTTCACCTGGGCAAGGGGTCTCCTGCTCTGCCAGCAGGGGCAGGCAGGCGATGAAGAACCTACTTTCCTGCTTCATTTGCAGCTAGGGCTGACTAATGAGCTAAACAGAAGTTGTAGGTGGGGCTTTCAGAGAAATTCTTTACAGGGGCTAATTCAACTGTGAGGCACATTCCCTTTGCCTGTTTCTTTCCTGGAACTCAGATGTGATGGCCAGATCTGCAGGGGCCATCTTGAACCATGAGGCAAATACTGAAGCACGGGAACTGTGTACTTCATGCATGGCAGTAAAGGACAAAAGGCACTTGATGGCAGTAGAACAGCCACACCAGGCCCTGCCTGGCTCACTCTGGGCTTGTTTACACAAGAGAAAATAAATCTCTGCTTGTTGAGGTCCCTGTCATTTGGGCTGCCTATTCCTGGCAGTTGAACCTAACTGAAAGAAGTTCGACAGAACTGAATCAACCCGTATGAGCTGTTTCTGTGATTTGCATTTTCAGTGATGCCCAGTGCTTCCTTGTCAGAGACGCTTCTGTGAAGCTGTCCTCTGTGAGCACAGACCAGCTCTTTGCTTCAGGAGAATTTCCATCGGGTGGAAGGAGGTTTGTAATGAGCTGCCATTGCGTCAGGAAAGCACACGAAGACTGCTGGGAACGTATCTTTCCTGTCTTCGGGGCCATCCCCGTGATTCCGATAGCTCTGTGTTTATGGGTCAGGTCAGGCTTGCTCCAGCCCGTTGAAAGCAATGGGTACTTCTATGCTAACCTCAAAGTCCTGCCCTCCAAGCCCCTGTGTGTGACCCCCTGAGAGGCCCCTGAATTTGGAACCAGAGAGGGTCAGACACTGCTGCAGCTTGCAGTGCATGTTGGTCGCTGGCCTGGGGCCAGATGCCCTGCGCCACCCAGAATAACCCCTCTGCCCTGTGCTGCCACCACCCGCCACCACCTGCTCCACTGAGTCCTCAGCGCCAGGCCTGGGGGCACCTTTGCCAGGCTGCCTGGGGCCATCCCGGCTGGGACCTCTGTGAGGCGAGGTGGAGGCTGGGAGTGACTGGGGAGCTTTTATTTTTATCCCTGTCACCAGATCCCGGCCCCAGCTCTGGAGCCCTGGCAAGGGGAAGGCTCCGCAGAGGGCCTGGAGGGCAGGGTCAGCGGGCTGTGGAGCAGAGGGCACGGGGCCGGGGTCACAGCCACCGGGCGCCTGTCCCTCACGTCGTCCACTCACCTCGGCGACTCTCTGGAGGCAGAGGGACCCTTCCTGCCTTTCCCGCTGGGCTCAGGTGCAGGCTGAGCGACCTCTCCGGTTGTTGGATGAGGCTGTCATGGGTCCCCGTGACTTCTAATGGTAAATGAGTGTCTGTGCTTCGAATAAAAAGAATCCCGCCGTGGGCACCCTGTGTCTGGCTTCTCTCATCTCTAATTTTTTTGTAATACCGGGAATTGAACCAAGACCTTCACACCGAACTCCACCCCCGGCCTGATTGCTTTTGATTGATTGAATGAGACAGGGTCTCACTAAGGCACCACGTTGCCCAGGCGGGGCTCGATTCGTGCTCTTCCTGCATCAGCCTCCCGAGCCTGCACGCACCTGGCTTCTCTGAGTCTGTGTCGTGCCCGAACACGGGCCGGGCGCTGTGCGCACCGCAGCTGTTCAGCAGACGCTGTGTCAGTCACCGTCTCTCTCGAGGCTCGCACACACTGAGTTGGTTTCCTCCTCTCAGCGTCTTAGAACCAGGCCGAGAGGGTGCTGCAGGGCCAAAGCTCCTGACAGACACAAGCTGCACCTCACTCGAGGTGCTCCCGGTGAACCTGCTGAGTCACGGCACAGGCGCCCAGCATCTGTTCTCATTCCCATGAATGGCATTTAAACCTCTGTCTCATTCTGCACCCCCAAACTCATGTTTGAAAAAAATAATCGCTGAGCTGGGCGTGATGGTGCACACCTGTAATTCCAGCACTGGGGAGGCTGAGGCAGGAGGAGCGCCAGGAGTTCGAGGCCAGCCTGAACTACACAGTGAGATCCTGTTTCAAAACAACAACAAAATCTTTTTGAGAAAGATCCCAAATTGATAGGGAAATTACCAATCCCACACAAAGACAGCATTTTCTTCCTGAGTGGCTGGAGGATAAGTCACGATCCTCCGTCAGGTTCCCTTAGTGCTTTGATATACAGTGCCTGCAAAAGAGGGTGCCGCCCACATCACTCCAGTGGATCTGCCAGCATCAGGAAACGAACCCCACACTTTGCTACCACCTGCTCAGATCCGTAAGGTTCCCCAGGTGCCCTCCTGCCCGCAGTGAGAGGATCTGATTTGAAGTCACATGTTGCCACCTTGCCTCTGTCCGCTTTCAGCTGGACCAGTGCTGCAGCCTGTCCTTGACCCTCATGACCTTGGGAAAACCCACCCCTCGCCCCGCCGCTGTACTGAGGATGCACCCAGGGCCTCCCGTGTGCTATGCAGCACGGGACCCTGACTACACCCAGCCTGCCTTGTGCTTTGCAGGATGCCGGGGAGCTGGTCTGCAAGGCGCCTCGTGGGTTGACTGCGGGGAGGCTGCGTTCCTCCCTCCCGTCCGACCGCTGGGTGCTGGCCCCACCTGGACCACTCTGCAGAGGAGCTACCCGCCAGCTTCCCATCTGCAGGGTTCTTTTACTCCTGTGAAATTAGTCAGTGCTCGAGGGGATGCACTTCGTAACTATGTAAATATCTTAAATGTCATCAAACTTTCAATTATTTATTTTTATCAGCAGCTGGACGGATGGCTTCCTGTTTTATCCAGTGTGTTGTAATATGTCCGTTACCATCATCATAGTTAATTTATATATATGCCAAAATGACTCCCGACACCCCTGGGGGTCCCCACCCCAGCTCCCCAGAGGTTGCAATATCCTTTTTTTTGGTTTTATTTTGTTTTCGTTTTGACTTTTTTGAGTGCTGGGATTACAGGCATGGGCCGTGACTGCTGGCAGTTGTGACATCCTTAAACCTGCTTTGGTGAGGCAGATTTGAACCCTCGTGAAGTCAAATAACAAACAAAACCACCAGACTTGGGGGACAGAGCCCCCTTTGTGCAATGTGAACTGTCCTCAGACCTGGGTGCTGCTGGAGGGTCCCCAACTGTCTTTTCTTTGCAGCCAGGTGGGCCCTGGCAGAAGTGAGTTGCAGGAGAGAGCTGGGGACCTCTCCACCCCAGCTTTGCCTGTGGTTGTGACTTCAGTGTGGACTGGGACTTCTCTGGCTGAGCACAGGGATTTGGAGTGCGACCACGCGTTGTCCTGGGGCTGCACTGTGTACTGTAGGCCATTACAAGCATCCCTGGCCCCCACCCACTGGATGCCAGTCAAGCGCCCTGGACCCCAGAGGACAGCCAAAAGCCCCCTGGCTCCCCAGGAATCCTTGCTCAACTTGGGGATCTGGCTGAGCCAGCACCCACAGGCCCGGGGCCTGGTCCAACTAGAATTCCAGCTCCTCTCTGTCCACGTCTCTCCCTGGGTGTAAGTTCTGGGACACAGGGCGCGACTGGCCACAGGACAGGTCTGGGCTGGGTGGCCCTGCGTTTCTTCTGCTGGGTACCTCCCTCCAAGAAGATGCTAATCACAAAGTGAGCCTCAGGCTGCAGATCGGTAACCCTTGTGACAGCTCTGTGGGGGTGGGATCCTCTCTTGTCCCCGTTTTCCAGCAGTGGGACGACTCATGGCTGTGTGTCACCAGAGAGGACACACAGGACTGCAGCACCGCCTCGTCCCTGTCCCCGTGAGATGCAGAAGCCAAGCTCACTGGGAGGAAGCAGCAGACAAGCCCAGAGTGAAGGACCTGCTGCTTGACACGGGCCTGTCACCCTCAGAGTGGCCAGTCACGAGGACACGAGGACCCGGCACTCTGGGCAGCTGTGGGCGGGAGCCGTATGCCTGGACTTGATAATGGCCCTGAGAAAAGTCCTGAAGTGATGTTAGCGCAGTACACGCGTGTGCATGTGTGGGTGCGCGTGGGTGTGTGTGATGGCAGGAGATCCTTGCGGGGAGGGTCGGGGTGAAGTCGGATCATGTCTACAGCTGACTCTCAATTCAGGCCGGAGTGAAAGGGTAAGTGGAGGGGCACACTGTACCCCAGCTGGCAGAAGGGCGCCTGCAGCCCTGTCACTGCTGGCTCAAAACTACATGCAAAGAAACACCTGGCCGTCCGCTACCCCTGGGTGATAAAAAGCATCTCCACAAGAGTCAAGCCTCAAGATGCATTTCTTCTTCTAACCGTTCTGTCCCCACTGCCAGCTGTGGGGCCAGGCGGCTCTGTGTCACCCGACAGGACACGTGCAGCATCCTGTAAGCACAGCGGCAGTGGTTTTAGTTGTAATAGTCGAAAACTTCCTTGAGCAAGCTACCTGCCCCAGCAGGGGAGGAGAGAGGAATCTGGGTTCCGCCACCCGCTGGCCCAGGGTCCCGCGATCCTGCCCGCAGCAGTGCCTTGCAGGTGACCCTGGAAAGCATCGTGCTAGCTGGGGTTGCTGCCACACACCTGTGGTCTCAGTTCTCTGGGAGACTGAGGCCGGAGGATCACAGATTCAAGTCCTTCCTGTATCAAAAATAAAACAAAATAAGTCTGGGCATGTGGTTCAGGCTTAGGTTTAACCCTCAGTCCTGCCCGTCCCCATTGTTATATTGAGTGATGGGAGCCGGGCTATTTCGTGTGACTCCTCGATGGGAGCAGGCCGAGGAGCTCAGAGTCACAATCCTGGTTCCTTTGGCAGGGAGGGGAGCTCTTGTCTAGAAAAAGCCCTGCGATTCCTCCTGGGATGCCGCACACAAATCCGGATGGTGGTCCCCAGAGTATGGAGCAATCATAAAGCATGGAGAATAGATCTAAGGACTCGCTGGGCTGTGCGTCTGCTGCACATATGCTGGACTTCAACACCAAGGTGGGCACGGACCAGCACACCCCCCTGAAAGCGTGCCCAGGCGTAGGGGCTGAGGCAGGGGTAAACAGACAGACGCGGGGGGTCCTAGTGCGCAGTCGTGGTGAGGTGCCGTACAGGGAGGGACTGACCAATTCTGCCTCTGCCACTGGAGGTCAAAGGGAAAACCATAAAGGACCCAGGAGCCCGAGTGGGGTGTGCTGGCTCCGAGGAATGCTGGCATGTGCTCCCCACCTGGTGCTCGGACCTGGCCTTACCAGCCTGGCCAGCCCTGCTGTGCTCTGGGAGGATTCCCAGGCCTGGCCCGCCGGCGATGGCGAAACCCGTGCTTGGCAGCGACTGGGCGCCGGAAGCAGCAGCTCTAAGTGTGCAGGGGAGTCAGTGGGGCACAGGGCAGCGGGCAGAGTCAACCTCTGCCCGCCTCCCACCGCCTTTGCAAGGGCTTTGGAGCCCTGAGGGCTTGAGTGCGAATTCCAGTGCTGCTGTCATGTGGCTTTGCACCCTGGGGTGAGCCACCCACTCTGCCTCAGTTTCCCTTCTAGAACCTGCCCCTGAGAGCCTTGACCTTTCACTCTTGACCTGGCAGAGTCAAAAGTCAGATGTATCTGACAGTCAACTCAGTGCTCCACAGACAGAGGACTCATTTGTGTCGCCATTTGTGTTGGGGGTGCCCTAGCCACCTCGCAAACACCGACTCACAGGACAGCAGCTTGGGATGGAAAGTTCTGGAAAAGGAACTTCCTGAATGCCCTCAATCATCAGAGGGCCCTTTCTTGCCTCCCTGGTGCTGGCAAAAGTTGTTGGTAAGCCAAGGGGACAAGGTGGGCATCATGGGGGTCCTCTGTGCAAGAAGTCCCTAGCCCCAATTTAAGGCCTGCTGTTACCACCCAAAATTCATGGGATTCTACAAGGAGCCCTGAGTCTTCATGCGGCTGACCCTGTGCCCTATGAGGTCACCTGCAGTGTCACCGCTCCCCTCCTCGAACACCCTGAGAGCAGCTGTCCCCACCACGTGCCTTGTTGACCTGTCTCCTCCCCTGGGAAGCAGGCAGCAGCCTTGCACAAGGCCACAGCCAAGCAGGACGACCCTGGGCTTCCGGCCTCAGACTCCACCTGCAGCTGAATGAAGGAGGACTTGGGGGGACAAGGAGTGGGTAGCCTGGAGTGCAGCCCAGCACGCGTGGGAGCTCCCCGGCGCATGTGGGGTGCTCTTCCATGCTTGCCTGGCTTGTCTCTGCCTTTTTTTTTTCTTTTGCTGGGGAATGGAACACGGGGCCTTGTGTATTAAATTTTGCTTTTTGAAAAATTTGAGATAGAATCTTGCTAGATCACTAAGTTGCCCAGGTGGGTCTAGAACTTGTGATCCTCCTGCCTCAGCCTCTCAGAGGGCTGGAATCACAGGTGTGCAGCACTGCACCTGGGTTCCTTGTGCATTTTTATATTAAGAAATGGTTGTAGTGGTGAACCAGTGCCATGCATGGGCTGCTGCTGCCGGAGGACAGCCAGACCCCAGCCTTTTCCCGTGAGTCAGTGCCATTCGCCGACTGTGGGGACAGGGAACAAGAAGTCACCAGGAAGCAAGCCTCGCCCCCACCCCCCACCCCGCAAACCAGAGCCACGCATGGGCTGTCACTGCTGGGGGAAGCGGAGGTATCCATCCTCTAGGAACACGCAAGCCTGAGGTCCGCCTCGCGCTGCCCCGGGACCGGCCCCTTCCCCGGCTTCCTGCTGGCTTCCGGCTCCCAGGCCTCTGTTTCCGCCTTTGTCCCATCTCTTTGCTAATGTCTGCTTCCTTCTCTTTTCTAGACCTTTGAAAATGGGAACTTTTTCTAGAGAGGTGCAAGCTGGCTGCAGGAGAGCTCAGTGTATGCGGAGGGACAGGACACACCCTGCGCCAGCCCTGGACGCTTGGACAGAGTATTTCTCACCTGGCAGGGGTCTCTGCACACGGCTCTCCCAGCTTCTGCAGACTGGGGGGCGCTGCCAGCGTCAGTCCGTGCAGCCGCTCGGGTTGGCTTCTTGTGCTCCACGGAGCTCTCGTGGTCCATCTGCAGTGTCCTGTCTGACCCCTTCTCTCCCCCGCCTTGTTCCCTGAGGGATCTCACCGCAGGCTGGGGGCTGACGTGGGCAGGGGTCAGCCCAGGGCCGGGCTGCTGTGAGCGGAGCGGCTGAAGGCATTTGCTCGTGTGTTGTGGACTCCAGCTCTCAGCTCGGCCCGGCTCACATGGACTGAGCGTAGCGCCTCTGCTGTCACTGCCCGCGGTGCCAAGCGTGGCTGAGCTCTTCAGTCCGAGATCCAGGCATGGTGCGGTTTCATTGGCGTCTCCCGTTGTGCCTGCTTCTTAGCACCTCGGGCCCTGGGGCCAGCCAAGCCTCGGGGCTCGTTTCTGGGTCCCCGTGCCTCAGTCCTGTCTTTAAGTGGGGCTCCGTGACGTCCATGTGCTCACTGCCCGGTAAATAAACATCTTCTAAACGAACTAATGGAAACAAAAGAGACAAAAGACTCTGCAGTCCCAACCCAGCAATGACAGGACCAAGCACCTACTATGTGCCAGTGACTGCCCTAAGCTGGGGCCACAGTCCACATGTCTGTCTTTGCGGAGCCCACAGGGTCACAGCAGGACACAGTAGGCGGAGTGATGGGGGGTTTCCTACTTCCAACTGCAGAGGTCAGGGATATCCAAGGACAAAACCTGAGGGAGGGAAGGGCAGAGCCCTGAGGTGTTGGGTGAAGGAGGGAACAGCTAGTGCAAAGGCCCTGGGGTAGGAATGGCAAGAAGGGGCTGTTGCTCTTGGGAGGAGCGGGGGTAGGAAAGGGAGGTGGGAAGGTGGGCAGAGGAGGGATGCACTCTGATTCTTTCTCCCCTCTCCCCTGGAGGGCTCAGTGCCCTTGGATGGCTGGGAGGGAGGAGACCCCACCCCATGGGGTAGGACAGGATGGGGGAGGGGCACAGCTGGCAGCGCCTGGAGTGAAAGGCCCCAGAGGGTTTCCCAGGAGGGCAAGAGGGGACCTCTCAGATCCCAGCTTCTCCTGGTCCTTGACTGGTGATCCCTTTACTCTGGGGCTTCTTGCTGTGGCTTTTCTTTGCCTCAGTTTCCCTATCTTGTGGTTTTCCATAAGCATTACTGCTTTTATTTTGTAGGTGGATCCTTTTTATTTCCCCTACACTTTCCCCACATGGGCAGAGTCAGGGGTCCTGTGGAGATGAGAGAAGCCCCAGTTGTGCCCCTGGAGGCTCCCAGTGCCCAGCTGGCCCCTGCCCATCTCTAGCACAGCCGCCTTCCCTAGGGCGGCCATGGGGCTTCTGTCTGGTTCGGAGCAGACACAGAAACCTGAAGCTCTTGCTTGGCTGCCTGTGCATCCAAGCCCACCCCTGGGGGGACTCAGTGCTGCCTCCCGGGGGCCTCTGTCCACAGCTCCCTAACTCAGGGGTGCGTGCATGCGTGTGTGTGTGTGTGTGTGTGTGTGTGTGTGTGTGTGTGTGTGTAGGTCCTGGCTCTGCTGCTTCTGCTCATGCTTCCGGGTCCCAGGAGGCTCCTGATCAGGGTCACCTTCCAAGCAGCTGGCCCAGGGCTGTGGTCGGGGTCGGGCTGGGCGCTCCAGGGCTGAGCTGAGCTGGGAGGACCCGCAGGTTTAAGGTGGCCTGCACGGGCCTGGCCCTCACCCCACATGCCGCAGGAGCTGGACCAGAAGAGCACCTCTACCTGGATTTCAGGTCACTGGGGACCAGACGAAGGGGAGAATGGCTGGGGACAGAGACGGAGATGAGGGGTGAGGAGGGGAGGGATGGTGGACAGGAAGGGACAGTCAGATGCGGACCAGGAGGGAGGGGCCCCCAGGGCAGGAGAAGGGGAAGGGGTGCGGGCACCGGGCACTGCGGGACGGAGTAGGATGGAGGTGCTGGAGAATCAGCCTCCTCCCCACTCTAACTGGGTCCCGGTTCTGGAAGCACTGCGGCCGCATCTTGCTCTCCCTGGCCTCCCTGGGGGTGGGAACCTGGCACGGGCTCTCCAGGGGCCCCTCTCCAAGAGGAGCGGGAGGGCTCAGGTGAAACCCAGCTAATTAGTGCTCAGCACTGAGATAATCACAGCCTGGAATGTTCCCTGGGAGGTCCAGGTGGGGGGCAGCAAGGCCACGGGGGTGCCTAGGATTGGCCTGCCAAGCCCGTGACTCCAGACCCCTGTCCATTGGAAGCAGGGAGGCCTGGGAGGCCAGAGCTGCAGGTTACTCAGAGCCCTCCAGGCCCGCAGCACAGCACAGAGGCAAGCTGAGCCTCCAGGCTCCAATATGACCCTGTCCGCCCTGATCTCTGCCTCAAGCCTTTTATGGCTCCCCATGGCCCTTAGTTAAAATCCAAGCTCCTTAGCTCAGCCTAAGGGTCCGGCCATCTGCTTTGACCCCAGCCTCACGGCTCTGCCCTCGCTTTGTGTCCTCTCCATGGCTGATTTCTACATTCCGTATTTGGCCCACCTCAGGACCTTTGCATGTGCTTTGTTCCCTGCCCTGACATGTTCTTTTTTTTTTTGTCTTTTTGAGACAGGGTCTCACTATGCAGTTCAGGCTGGGCTTGAGCTCATTTTATAGCCCAGGCTGGTCTCAAACTTGCAAGGATCCTCCTGCCTCAGCCTCCCAAGCGCTGGAATTACAGGGGTGAGCCACCATGCCCGGCTCTGACATGTTCATTTTCTACCCCCTCCTCACAGGTCCTTCAGCTTTGGCTCAAAGGAGAGCCCGTCACCTGCTCCTCTCCTCCAAACTCTGTACTTGATTACCCTAATTGTGTTCCTCACCGATGCCCAGGGACCTGTAAGGGAAGGCACTGTACCAGCCCACTGCTGGCCATTCAGGAAGTGGCCCTGGGTACCCTCTTCCGTCCCTCCTTCCCTGCCCCCAAGAGCCTCCTCTGTCCCTTCAGACCCCATCCCTGGCCGTGGTGTTGTAACGCATCACCGGCTGGAATCTGGTAGTGGTTATCTCCCAGCTGGCCGGCCACGCTATCAGGGACCCCATGTGGCCCCGTGCCTCCTGCCAGATAATAGCACAGGCCTGAGGTGGCTCTGCCTTAGCCGCAGGTGCCAGTGCCAGGGCCATGGGGTGGGCCAGGGTTTGTGGCAGGGGACCTCGGAGTAATAATGACACTGACTTCTCAAGGAGGCTGAGAGGTGTTGGTGACAGATAGGATTCCTGTGTGTCCCCGGCATGGGTGGGGAGGTCCGGGAGGATGCACCTGCCCTGGGTCACTGGGCACCTGAGGTTTACAAGCACCTGGGGGCACAGAGGTGGGGGCAGGTGAGGGCTCGGGCCACTGCTAGGGCACTGATCCCACCATGCCTCAGCTTCCTTGTAAAGCCAGGACAATAAACATTTCTACTCCCTGGGATACGCTGCAGGGGCAGCCGTCGGTACCTGCCCTGGTCAGCCCTTCCTGGACAGCCCTTCCTTCCGCCTGCCCGCTCCCCATCCTCTGCTTCGTATCCCAGTGCTGCTCAGGCTCAACTGAGACCCACGGGAGCTGCAGCCCCCAGCTGGGGTCCTGCGCACGGGGTCTCCCTGTGCTGCTGGATGCCCCAGGAAGCACCTGCCCCTCAGGAGCCTGCCAAGGCTCCTGCTGCCTCCGGAATAGTGGAGCCTCCTCGCGGCCTGCTGGTGCTGCAGCTGAGAGCTCCCCTCTCCTCCCTCCTCTCCTCCTTCCTTCTCCTCTCCGTGCCCCTCCTCCTCCCCCTTTCTCCTCTTCCTCTCCTGCCTCCTCCTTCTTCCTGCCCCACCTCAGGGCCTTTGCACCTGCTGCTTCCTCCACTGGAATGCTTCTCTCTCTGATCAGGTCTTGGATGCCCAGGTCTCGGATCAGAGGAAGTTCCTTAGTGCGTTCTTTAGGGACTCCTCTAGTCCACTTCCCTGGACCCTGTTCCCCCCTCCAAGCTGCCCCACTCGCCTGCCTGAGCGCCCAGCTGGAGCCCTTTTAGGAAGAACAGGAGCCTTCACCTGGAGGGCCTTCCCTGCCCGCAGGAGTGGGCACAGTGGGTACTGGCTGCGTCGGGAACAGAAGCTCAGTCCTGGGCTCCAGGCAGCTCCGTCTGCTCTGTGGTCTGCTCTCAAGGTCCTGCAGAGCCTCTGCAGCTGGGTCGAGTCCCAAAGGTGTGGGGTTGTGCCCAGTCTGCTTTCCTCTCTCTCCTCCCAAGCAGGCTCCTGTGTACCCCAGGCCTGCTGCAGCCTCTGCTGCTGGTCACTCTGAGCCAAGATGGCCCTATGAGCCTCCCGCCTGCCCGTTCCCTTTCCGGGCTTGTCTGTGTGGCTCTCTCCTGCAGCTATGGCTGTGGCCGTGTTTTCACAGCGGCCCGGATGGTCATTAGGCTGATATCTGTCCCTCAGCCCAGAACATGAGGCAGGCTCACGTGGTCCCTGCTGGGTTGCCAGTGGGAATCACAGGGCTTGGCCCAAAGGAGTCCAATAAATCCTGGTGAGCTGGAGGCTGGGGCTGGGGTACTGGGCCGGTACCATCAAGGCCCCCAGTTTTCTCGTGTCATGGTTCTGTGGTCTGCTCTCAGCCTAGCTCCTCAAAGCCCCAGGACGGCTGCCGAAATCCTGTCATTTCTTCTGGTACAGCCAACGCCAAGGCGGGAAAAGGCCCTCACACGTCCCTAAGGGACCAAGCAAGGGATCCGGACGCCCTTGGGAAGACCTCTGGATCTCACAGGCCACACACACGTTCCTCACAGCTTCTGTCAACCCTTTCCCAGGGACAGAGGGCCACGTGTGGCTTGGAGAAGTGACTTAAGTCACTGAAAGCCACAGGCAGGGTCCACTCTGCCCACTGAGGGGATCCCGGGGAGGGGGGCACTTTGCAGATCCCGGGGCTGTGGATGCCCCTCCGTCCTCCTTTTCTGGGAGCCCTGAGTGCTGGGAGGGGGTGGGAGGCGGGGCAGGGCCAGGGTTAGTCTGCTGGACCTCCACCTCAGGCAGTGGTCAGAGAGCCGGGAAGGAGGCCCAGGGCTGGGGACAGCAGGGGGCTGGAGACCAGGCAGAGACACACACGGGAAGAGAGACACAGGGAAAGGGGACACAGGGCCCAGAGGGACAGGGACAGACACGTGGGAGAGACAGATGGGTGCAGACAGGCACAGCGATGGGCTTTGTGAGGAAGGCCTTTCACCCGGGCTCCAGCGGGCAGGCGCCCTCTCGGGTGAGCATGGAGGCCGGGCCCAGGCTGTGTCTGAAGGCCTTGCACGAGTCCCTTTCGGGCCTGCGCGTCGGTCGGCCCATCTGCTTCACCCATCATGAGGTGGAGACGCCACTGTCTGAAGTCTGTCCTGAGGGGCCTGCACCCTGGGTCGCCCTGGGCCCCGGGCCTTCAGTGACCTATAAACGACTTGCAGGGGGTGGGATTGGTCCCCGGGGGCAGGAGGGAGACATTTACCCCAGGTCACAGCAGGCAGTGCAGCCGGTGATTCTAAAGCCCTTGTCCTGTGTGTGCCTTGTGGGGCTGGGCAGCAGGGACGGGAGGCTGGGACAGTTGGTGTACTGACCACAGCTCTGAGTGCCAATGGCGGCCCTCTGCTTATGGTCATGGCCATCGGGGTCTGTGTACCCTCCAGGCGCCCTGGTCACCTTCTGCTGGTCATTTTAAATTCCAGATGAGGGGCCTTCCTGCCAAGTGGAGGGTTAAGGTTTAGTGAGACAGGCCTGGGTCTAAGTCCCTTCTTCACCCCTGATGGGCTGGGGGACCTGAGCAGTTTTTCTTTCTAAGCCTCAGTTTACCCATTTGTGATATGGGAAAATGACAGTTTAAAGACTGATGTGCAGACTAACTGAGATGAAGCATGGAAGATGCTTGGCCTAGGCCAGGAATAGAGAAAGTAAATGCTCCACAAATGCCAACTGGGCTGTTGGGTACCAGTTGTTAAGTGATTTTAAAATGATTCCTCTAATTGTTCTTTTTTTGCAGAGAGCTGGATGAGGTCCGGAGACGGGCAGTGGTTTGCCCGGGGTCACCAGCCAGGTGGAGGAGCTGAGACTCCAAGGCCTGTGTGCCGCCTGGGAGGCCTGCTTGGGACTCAGTCCTCCATGGGTAGGAAGTGTGTGGCATTAGCCACGATCACCCGGTGCAGCAATTGCAAAACCCTTCTCCCTTTGCCCGTCGATAAAAGGAATCCATTGCAAAACAGCGGAGAAATTATTAAGGGTTGTGTCATCCTGCCGCAAGGCCCTGGGCACCCCTTTCCTGCCTGGAGGCCTGGGTGGAGCCGAATCCTCATTTCCCCTGCTTGGCCCGACCAAGAGAGGCCAGCTGGGGTCAGCAGGGACCTCTGGGGTGGCAGCGGGCAGCCCCAGTGCCAGGTCCCCAGAGCCTTCGGCTCTCCAGAATGGCGGCCACATCCTGACAGTGCTCAGCCAGTCTCAGGTGGCCCCTTGATCATCTGAAGCTCCGTGTCCAGTCATGGCCAGGGGCCCTGCCAGGTCTCCCTGTAGGACAGATCCTCCTGCCAGCCAGCGTCCCCCTCCACGTGCACATCCGGGTTCCCAGCCTTTCTCCACCTGGACCCCTCCAGGAGCCCCCCACCCCACAGGTCCCTCTTCCTCCCAGGCAGCTATGGTGGCTTATGAGGAGTGGAATCAGATTCCACCCTTCTGTCTAGAACCTTCCTTGGTTCCTGCCTCGGAGGAGACACAAAGCCCTTTCAAGGTCACAAGGCCCCTCCTGTCTGGGTCCCAGGGCCCGTGTGGCCTCCTGTCCCATTCTGTCTCCTTTGCTCACTTTGCCCCAGACACCCTAAGCTCTGTGCTGTTGCCTAACATACCCTGCATGGTGGAACCCCAGGGCCTTTGAACTTGCTTTTCCTGCTCCCCGGCTGAGCTCTTTCATACACCTGGGTTTGCCATGTTCAATCTCATCTCAATGTCAGCCCTTCTGGAAAGTGTCTAATGTTTCCCTGCTGAAATTGTACTTTCACTGTCATCCAACCGTCCTATTATATGCTGCTTTTATTTTTATTTGGAGACAGGATCTCATTATGCAGCCTCGGGTGGCCTAGAACTCGGCGCAATCTTCCTGCCTCAGCTTCCCAAGTGCTGGGATCATACGCATGCACCATCATGCCCAGCTATATGCTGCTTTCAAATTTATTGAACGGGGCCAGGGACCTAGCTCAGTGGCACAGCACCTGCTTGGCAAGTGCAAGGTGCTGAGTTGGATTCCTGGTAGCAAAAAATCTTATTTAATACCCTTCTTGGAGTGACGTCTTCCTCGGTGCGGGGACTGCGGTCTGTTTTGTTCATGACACTCCCTGGACAGCCTGCACTGGGGAGACAAAAGTGGCCAAGTTGGTCACCATCACCCAAGTCCCCGTCCTGGCTGCTGCTCGGGAGTGGAGCCCGGACCAGCCGCTGCCCACCTTTGGGCGCTGGTGGGCACGGGCTCCCTGGAGCCCCTGCACGGCCTGGCTGCCAGCCCCACCCACGCCCTGCACCCTGCTCTCCCCTGGCTTCCCCCAACCTCTGCTTGTTTTGTTTGCTTCCGGATTTACTGTCAACCTTCCTCCCCTGACCAAGTGCTCAGGGGACAGGGCCGCGCCTCCTCGATGCTGTCCCTCAGTGGCCGAGCAGGCCTGCCTGGCCCCCGCGGCAGGCATACAGTGCCGGCCTGATCAGGGCGTGGGCCGGTCCTGGTGGAGAGCGAGTGTGGCTGAGGTGCCGTGCCTGGACCGGCAGAGTCAGGGAGGGAAGGGGCCTCTGGGCCTCAGTGACGACAGGGCCCATAATGACACGGTGTTATAATAGGCACACAAAGTGTACTAATCTGATATTATATCTGGGCTTTTGACAATAGATACAATCAACAGCCACAGTTTGCTAACTCATTCCCCACCTATCTCCACGCTCCGCCTAGATTCTTATCCGCTTCCTTAATTAAGTGGAAAGCAAAGCTCCACCGGCCGGCCGGCCCACAGCCCTCTGCTCTGCTCTTCTGCTCCGCTTGGACGAGTCCTGCCCCGCCCTCCCTAAGCTGGGATAATAGTTACTCCCACACAGCCGGGCCAGGCGAGGCAGGCGCTGCCTGTACCATCCCAGGTCCCTGGCCCAGGCCTCCACAGCCTGGCAAGCCCCAGACGCAGCCACCCGGGGGCTCCCACTGGTGACCCCTGGGCCAGGCCGAGCTTGAGATAGCTTGGGTTTGGTGCGTGGGGTGCTTTGGCTGAAAGATAAAATGCATTGCCGACACCGAAGATCGGGATGTTGTAAACAGACACCCAGGATTCTGGCTCCTCCTGAGGGATGAGAAGGTGCAGGATCCTTGGGCTCCCTGTCCTGAGTGCTGGGGCTGAGGGGTGGCTGTCCCCACTCGACGGGACATGATCCCAGTCACCGGCCTGCTGCCTGCTGAGGTGTTAGCCATCTGCAAGATGGGAGAGCACCGTGCAGCACAGCAAGCCTAGAGCTTGGGTCTCAGTCGCTAATAAGTCTTTCCCAAGCACCCAGGATCCAAGCGCTGGGGACAAGAGAGGCCGTGGCAGACAGAGTCCCTGCCCACTTGGCCGATGGCCTCTGGCTCCACAGCTGTGCCATCACCCTCACGCTGGGCAAGAGTCTGCTAGAGATGGCTCCTTTCTGATGCCCCCCAGGAGGCCCGAGGTTGAGTCCTGTAGCTACTGGGCCCCATCTGGATGGAAATGGATTCCCCAAGGTTTAAGGGCTTGGAAGCAGCTGTGCTGGAAGAAATACAAGAGCTCCCACGTCAATGGTGTCCCTGCCCCTCAGCCTGGCTGCCAGGGTGGCCTGACCCTGTGGGCTGGGGGTGAGATGTGGGGGCAGAGGGGAGCTCAGAAGGCTTTGTGATCAGCGGGTCAGAGCACGACTCATCCTGGTGGAAGACGTTTCCCCAGCTCCTCCTCTTGTAAGAGAAGCCACCCTGGGTCAAGATGCTGAAATACTCCCACTACCCACTTGCTGTCCAGGAAGGAGGACTTCGCTTAGCAGGCCTGGGACCAAGGGCTTTACCTGTTGCCTCTACTCCACAGCGCCGCCCCTGGTCTGGAGGATGAACTGCAGCCTGGATGGATGACCGGCCCCTCCCCAGCATTGGCTCCAGCTTGGGTCACACTGACCCCAAGGGCCACGGCTGAGCAGCTGGACTCCAAGGAGCCACATCTGAGGAGCTCGGAGCAGCCCGCGCTGGCTCCCCACTGACGCGGGAGGGGGATGAATAACAGTCTCAGCCATCATGTGCGTGTGCTAAAAATAAACCTGACATACTTTTGCATTGAGAAACAATGTGGATTCCAAACATTCTCAAAGGGCAAAGAGGGGAAAAAGGGAAGACTGGAAATCAAGCTTTTGGGCTTAGTAATTAATTAGCGCCTGTAAACAAATGATTCATGTTCTTTCCTAGCTATTTTGCTTTCCGTTTGGTGTGGATTTTTGCAGGGACTGAGGGAAGGAGGCCAGGAGAACTAAGTCGGTATTTGGAGGGATGGGACCGTCCTCAGGAGGAGAGGGGACCTTCAGGTGGGTTCCCCTCGGCGCGGTAGCCTGAGAGCTGAGGTCTGGACACATCCGAGGGACGGTGAGGAAGCCACACAGGTGGCCAGGCAGAGGCACAGGCCCCAGGCCACACTGAGCTCTGGTGGAGGGGTGAAGGCCTTGTCCATGGATCCTGAGGACAGCGGGAGCCTGCGAGGGTTTTGGGGGGAAGGAAATTCATCTGACCTATATAGTGACGTCATGTGAAGAATGGATAACCAGGGAAATCTATCCTGCATGTTCTGTTATTTGGATGTATCTGGATTGAAATTTCCCAAACAAGCGATTATCCAGCGGTTGTGTTTCTTTGGGGTTTACATTTTCAACGCCAGTCTCGCCCCTCCCCGCAGAGTGTCAGCCCTGTGATGGGAGGGACCCTGCGAGTTTTGTTTACTTCTGTGTCTCAGGGCTTAGTTCACAGCTAGGCACACAGTAGGACCTCAGCACGTTTGCCAAGTGACTGAGGGCTCCTCTCCACAAGCTCATGGCTTTGGTCCATCCTATGGGGCAGAGAGATCTCCTGAGGCCAGGCTGGGATGATTCCACGGAAAGCAGGGTTTGTTTAGTTCAAATTAAGGAGAAGTTTCACAGCTGGAAAATCTGTTCTCTAAGGCGGTGAGCGCCCCAGCAAAGGCGCATGAAGGGGGGCTTGCAGCGCTAGCCCCATGATAGCCCCTCTGGGTGGAGAGGTCTCTGTGCTGCTACAGATTCCCTGCAGTGATCTGTGAGGTTTGTGTACGGCTATGTCTGTCGTACACAGAGAAACAAAAGCCCAGGGGACAGGGACACACTCAAGGGCACGTTCTAAACTGCGGAGCCTGGGTTAGAAGCCAGATCTGACCATAAAGTCTGAGCTTCGAGCCCTTTCTCTGAGTCGCAAACATTGGTTCAGATGCCAGCCTACCGCTCAGATGCTGTGTGACCCGGGGTAAGATGCTTTGCCCTGCTCAGTGTCTGCCCCATTGTGCAGGATGCAGATGCCCACCTTGCAGGCTGCTGGGGGGAGCTGAGGAGACCTGAACTGGCCCCAGGTGCTTCCAACATTCACATCCTCCTCCCAGCTGAGGTCCGTCCAGTGCTCTCCAGCAGCCCTTCCCAGATCCTGACCCTCTCAGCTGGCAGCTCCTCAGCATCCCCGAGTGGCTTCAGTCGTCCACTTTGTGCTGATTCACCCATGCCACCCCTGCGTCTTGCCCTCTGCCTGTGTTTTCTTCCTCCTTTTCTTGGTAAAACCGCTGTCTCCTCTGATTGCCAAAGCTGCCTTTGGGAGCAGACGGGCAGAGGGGACCCCACCATCCCACGGAGCTGTCGCCGCTGCTTCCCCGTCCCTAGTCCCCTCCCCATACAGCCTGAGGTCACCAGACAGGAGGCCAGGGCTGGGGACCTGGTCATGGCTGGGGGGTCTGATGACTCATCAAGGAAAGGTGAGTTCTGTCCTGGGTCCCCTTGGGGGGCCACACCAATGGGTGACCGAGGCAGGTCACACTAAAGCTCCCTGGAAGGCTGGCACTCACAGTTGGTGGTGAGCATTTATTTATGTGGGAAGCCCTTTGGGTGCTGAGGGGCTGTGCATGGGGCCAGGGTGGCAGAGGTGGGGCCTTGGGGTGGCTCTTCAGGGGGCTGGCTCACCTGGGCTCACCCCTGCTCTGCCCCTGACCCGCTGTGTGAACGGACTCCAGCTCACACAGCTCTCCGAAACTTGGTTTCCTCATCTGGAAAAAGAGACTGATATCAAGTCCCCTTCACAGGCCATGGTGATGCTAAGGAGGACGAAGGGACCAGAGCAGGCCCAGGCACGTGGCCCCTGCTGAGGGTGTGACAGTCCCTGCTCATTCTGACCGCCAGCATGGTGGGAAGCACAGGGTACTTGGTACTTGGTACTTTTGGTACTTGGGTGCAATCCCGGCTTCCCGCCTGTGTGTCCTCCGGCAGCCCCCACCGCTCTGAGCCTCAGTCTCCTCTCCTGGACAGGGAGCTGTCTGTTCCTGGAGGTCAGCAGTGAGGATGAAGCCTGTGAATCAGCATTGAGTGCCCAGTGCAGTCCTCTGCACGCAGTAGGGACTGAGTGGCCGTGGCATGCCCGGGCCCTGTGGCCCCATGTTAAGAGCTGAGCTCACAGTCAGCCCAGCCCACCTGGGGCTGAGTCCTGGCTCTGTTGTGAGCCACAGGGAGACTGGGTAGGACTGTGGGGCGGAAGTACCCATTTGGTGCTTGGTCACTGGGATCTTTGTGTCCCTGATGACCAGGTTATCCTAATGTCGCAGGTGGGAAGGAGGTAAGGCAGGATGGTTTAACCTTTCCATGGTGAAGAAACAGGCTTAGAGAGGTGAAGTCACGAGCCACCTGTCTAGCAAACATCTGGGGCTATTTAGCTCTGGGACCTGTCCTCCAAAAGAGGGCTCTTGGAGGTACACACTGGGTTGAGGGTGTCCCTAAGAGCCCCAGAACAGCCTTTGGTGGCTGAAGGAGGCAGGCAATGTGTGCTGGGAAATCAGCCTCAGCTGGCATGAGATTGTGGGGCCCTGTCCAGACTGGGCACCTGGGAGTGGCTTTGCCTGTGAGGGGCTGCTGTGGGTGTCTTTGGGTGTGGCAGCCCCAATAGGCCGAGGCTAGATCTTTCTCCTTCACTCAGCCAACCTTGCAGCATCCAGCCTAATGTTTTGTTGTTACTATGGAACTTGGGAATATTTCCCAACTGTCCAGCCTTCTAACTTCCTTCCTGTGTGTGTAGGATTCTCTGCTGTGCGAGGTAGAGAGTCTGCCTCTCTCAAAGGCAGCTGAGAATGAGACCCTGTGTCCTGCCTCCCTTGCAGCTAGAGCATAGACATGTGACTCAGTTCGGCCAATCAGATACACCATCCCGGACTTTCCCTTCTGGCACATCCCACTCCTGCCCAGAACCTTCTCATCGCCCCCCCGTCATCCTCCCGATGACACCCAAACAGTCCTCCAAGTCCCCCAAGGTTCAACACGATAGAGACTGGTTGACTTTGCCTCCTGTTCCCCTCTTCTGGCTCCTCCAGTTCCATGGGCCTCCTTTGGCTAAACTTAGCCCACTGACATGTATGTCACAGCCCGGGGCTATGTGCTTGCTGGTCCTTTTATGTTTCCACATCACAGGGGACATGGGAGAAGGGAAAAGAATTGGAACCAAGGTGGACTTTGCCACAGTGCTGGTCAGAGACTGCTTGGTCCAGGTTCCTGTTCAGCAGAATCCCAAACCCCGGTCAGCACCCTCCAGGCCAGTCGTTTGTGTGCACATGCACACGCACACGCGCTCCTGTGTGTGTGTGTGTGTGTGTGTGTGTGTGTGTGTGTGTGAGATGTCACGCCAACAGGGTGGAAACCGACTCTTGGTATCTTTCTGTATAAAACTAAGGCATTTATAGAAAACACAATCAGGTAAACCACCTGCTTGTGGCTCTAATATTTCATAAGGGGCAACTAGGAGAAGAATGTTTAAAAACCCCCTGGAGAGGATAATAAAAACGTTGGGAGACACCAGCTTTCTCTATTTTTGCAATACTAGGGTTGAATCCAGGTCCCGACCCCGCTACCATGGTCCCAGAAATGTTGGTTTAACTCAATTTGATTTCATACAAAACTCAGCTTGAATTGATTGGACTCAGCTCCTCCGTCGAGCCCAGCAAGCCTCAGTCACGGGCTGAGGTGTAACTGGGCTCTGCCTTCACGGCCCTCTTGTCCACCGCTGGGCTTCGTGACCTCGGCCACACACCGCTTGCAGCTCGCTTCAGTGTGAGATGCACCTCGGCGAGCTCTGCTCCCCTCTCGCCTCCCCTCAGCTCCCTGCACCCCAGTTCAGCTCCAGCGAATTCGCCTCACCTCAGCTCGCCCCCCACTTCCACTCAGCTCGCCCGTCAGTCCTGCCCCATCTGCTGCCCCACTCGGCGGCCCCGCCCCGAATCCTCAACTCACCTTGTCATCTGAACTCAGCCGAACTGCTGCGCCTGCCCGACCCCGGCTCCCACCCTGTCTCATCGCCAAACCTCGCCCTCCTCCTGATCCCTTCCAGGCCTGCAGAAAAGAGATCTTTCTGCCTGACCCCAGGATACTGTCTAGTGGGGGCCTTCGAGGGTCCATCCAGCAGGTGCCGGGTTGGGAGCAGCGTAAGACAGTCCTGGGGAGCCCTGGAGTCTCCCCAGGGGGGAAGGGCATTCGGGTGCGAGGCACCACATGCACAGGGAGCAGGGGCAGGGCGGGGGAACGCAGAGGCCTGCAAGTTGCTCCAGGAACTTCCGGAACTCAGGGTGGGAGGTAGGAAAGGAGCCAGGAGGCCCGGGATGCTCAGACCCTCGGGTGGACCCTGGCCTGGGTTGCACAGAGGGGATGTGTGATGGGAGCCATCCTTCTGCTGCTAGAGGGGGCCAGAACCGAGAGGGCAGACTGACCTGGAGTGGGGATGGGTGGAGAAGCCCAGCCCTGGGGAGCAGCAGGGCCAGTGGGGTGGGACGCTCACAGAGGGGACTGGGGACGTCGGTGCACCATCAGGGACCGAGCAGGGCTCCGGGCCAGGCCTTGATTCTCCTGCCTTCTGTGCCTTAATCCTGATAACATCTCCCGGGAGGTATCATCCCTGATGGATCGTAGT